TGGTTAGGAGAGGCTACAACTACATTTTTTTTTTTTGTAATTCTTACGATGTATTAATTCATTTCAGATGGAAATGCAGACTTCTGTTTAGAAGGCCTGCAGCTTATTCGTATCATGTTCAAGTTAAAAAAAAAAAAAAAAAGTTTCCAGCCCTACTTCTTTGAAAGCATTTCATTTTCAGGAACAGAGAATTGACTTAAAAACAGATTTTTCCATCTTGAAAATGCAGGTGCAGTGCTCTTAGTAGAGGATGCTCAGTTGTTGGTGTCCTGGGTGGTCATCCACTCTGCTTGAATGTTTCGATGTTGTCTTCTGTGCAACTCTGGATGAATGTTTTTTGATTGTTTCAGAATAAAATCAATTTTCCTGTCTGTGTTTTCCTGTTTTGTTGCACAAAACATAACAATAATTTCTGTTATGTCATTGTTTAGTTACACTGAGTGCCATATACTCTTTAAGACAGTAGTGTAATGTTTTGTGATCACTAGAAATTCAGCAGAAGAATCTGAGGAATAGAGTTAGGTCCAAGTAGTTCAAAATTTTCACAATTTTCAAGGATTTTTAGATTTGAATTGCTGGGCATGATTACTGAGGTAAGTTAATGTAGAGGTGATGTTATGCCAAACAGTAATACATTCTCAGCATTCCTCATTTGGATATTGTTCATTTTGTATTCTGGTTTCATTGTTCATAACCACAGGCAAAAATATTCATTGTGGAGGAAGCTCTGCGAGTGACATATGTAAAATATTGTGAAGTGGCTGAAACTGTTATTCTCTGAAAAATAAATCCTCTTCTTGCTGCTTTCTGAAAAAATGGTGAAATCTGGGATCAAGTGCATGAGAGGAGTTCATTACAATGAGAGGGATACCATTCTAATACACAAGCAGTGTACTGTAATAACAGTATGTAACAACAAATGTAAAATAAGGCACGATGATAAATATGCATGTTTGTTGACAGAACATCTGTATCAATGTCTGCTAGGGCTCACCACTCCTCTCCCATCTGGCTGACAGAGCTCTACCTTCTCTTCTTTCATGTATTAAGGGTGTATTTCTTTGCTGTGTAAAAAGCTGGTAGTCATACATAATCATTACCTAATATCTCATTTATTGATAACACAAAACTGCCGAGTAGAAAGAGATGGATTTATCTTCCATTCAGCAGCACAGATTGACTCAATGAGGACATGCTCTGGGACTTTCTTACTGTTCAAGTTCTTTCTGCTCATTACTAAAGCAGCTCTCTCTGCTCCTCTTGCCTGTTCTCTTATTTCTTCCTTTCAACGTAGGAAGTTGGAACCTCCCTTAGATGATCAGTAAGAACTGTTTTTCAGATAGCTTTTCTGCGTGAACTCATCCTTTTGTTAGAACTGAGATCTTTTTTTAGCATTTTTTGTTGTTTTTGTGAAGTCCAGTGTAACACAACTTTCAAGACGAGAAGTGCAAATAGACATTTCTTCTTTCTTACTGACATTTTTAGTACTTTTGGTTTTAGCAAATGGATTTATTTTATTTTTATTCTTTGGTAATTTGCTCGTCCCTTTACCTTTTTGCAAAGGTCACCAAGTACTTTAAACTAGTTGTATGATATGTCAGGTTGTGTAAGGTGTATGTCTTACAACCTAACATATACATGTTACAACCGAAATTCACACACTCTTGTATATGTGATACATTTCTGGTTTGTGTAATACTCCTCAGAAGAATCAGATTAAATTTGAGGCTGTCCAGCAGGTTTGCTCACAGTAACTAATGTGTTGTTGTATGGGATAATATATAATTAACTCAGTGGTTTGCATGAGCCTTACTTGTTCAAATGAATGAATAGAATAGCTGTTCCTGAGTGCTGGCTTTTTAGTTCACTGTCCAGAAACAGGAGAAAAGGCTGCTGCCCAGGAAGAGTGGAATTGCTGTTACACAGAACAGAGACTGCTTCAACAGGATGCCCACATGTAGCACATTGATAACTGCATATACATAATCTTGGAACCCAGGAGCACTAGATAGTGTAATCCAAATTCCCTTGACCTCATGGTGTGTGCTCATGGTCAGTGAAATCTTGACTTGGTTCATGTATGGACATGGCAATGCTTTGCAAAGGGATTGGAAGAGATAGCAAATGCAGTTGTGGAAAAGGGTGGAGAAGAGAGGAGAGCTTTGGGGGCACTGCTTTCTTCACAGGCAACTATTCTATGCCTTCTCCAGAATAAGAGAGATTTAAGAGCTGTTGCACTATTGCATTAAAAGCACATGGTGATCCCTTTACTGCTTTTTCAGTCTGCATGTTAATACCTCCAACATTAACTGGTGCCCAGTATCAATTAATTTGTCTGATGGGAGAAAAGCCAGAGTGAGCAGATGACAAAAGCGTAAGTCAGCAAATAAAAAGTTGCAGTGTTCTTTTTTTCTTACACATCAAGCGAAGCTGGAAATATGCCAGGTCTTTACAAGCAGCCTCTTTCTGTCCTTTTGGGTGATTGGAAGATGTCTGTTATGGCAAAGGTTGTTCTGGTCTCAAAGGGCTAGGAAGTCATTGCAGTCATTTTGGCAAAGGCAACTTCACATTCACTCTGACTAGGTTCCCTATAGGAAATTACTGTTGTTTTTTCTTCTCATTTCTCTTGTGTGGTTGTACATAACCTTTATTCACAAATGCTTCACAAATGCTTCATTTCATGAAGTTTTTACCATAAGAATGCACAGACAGAATTTATCTGCTTGATTCTCTTCAGCTTCTCAGCAAAAACATTGGAGTCACGCTTCCCAGATCTATATTACTTTAGTCAATGTCTTTTGGTTCTTTTACTAAGATTTGCAGAGCTGTATTGCTCCTTGTTATGTACGTATGAAAAATAATATATAATCAGGAAAACAAAACTGTTAGAATACAAAAAAGTGTGCCTCTGATGGCTATCCTCCCTCTTCTGCTCATTGTTGTAGCACTCACTAACATTTCACCAACTTCAGTACTTGAAGCACGCAGCTGATCTGTTCTCTGCACAGAAACTGACTTTGCTTATTCAGAAAGACAACCAAAGGGATTTTGTTTGCCCAGACCCTATTGCTTTTTTTGTTTAACTTTGGCCTGTAAAGGTAAATTGACACAAGCGAGCATACCAAGAAAAACAGCAGAATTTCTCTTAAAATTTGACATAGTGAATAAGGGAACAAATGAATTGTGCCCGTTCTGTACAGTGTTCAGGAAAAGGGACTCACAAATGTTGTTGATGTTTCTATAGAATATGATTCTTTTTTACTGTATTGCGTTCCTCACCACTTCCTAGGATCCCCCTGGAGATAATTAGATATCATGCTGAAACTCTTTCACACAAGCTGAATTTTGAAGAAAGGAAGCAGCTGGATGAGAATGTATCTGTTGCTGAGGTTGAACAGTCAGCCTGTGCCCTTGAACAAAGCCCCGGTCTCAGAGGACTTTCTACTGAAATATATGAATAGCTCCAGTATATTTTGGAAAATTCCCTAACTAAAAGTTGAATGAATCATCCACATCAATTTGATATGTGCTGCTAGCTCGGTTAATAGCTATGTATTAAGAAACATGATAGGAATCGTGGAAGTTGTGTCTCCTACAGAGCCCTTTCATTATATATACTCAGTCTCAGAATAGACACTAAATTACTTTCCAAAATGTAATTCTGAACAATTCTTTCCTGTTTTGTTCATCAAAACCAAAATGCTTTCACATATAAAGGACATGATTTTGCACGTTAGAACGTGTACGCAGTAGCACACCATATGCTATATTCAGTATAGAATCTGTTTTATTGTCTGAACGTTGAAACGGCTTTTCATTGTGAGTTATCATGGCATGGGAACAAAGAATGAATTTGTCTTGGTGTATTAAAATTCATCTTTTTCTTGAATGCAATACAATTGAAGAGAATGATGATGTACTGAATATACTAATATACTGAATCTGAAAGAGTGGTTCTGAGATATAAATAATCTGACATTTAAGATGGAGGCAGAAACTTCAAGCTTGTCCTTACCTGTATTATTGAGCTTCCATTGTTTTGAATAGAAGGTGTACTTGCATAAATCCGAATTTGTTATGCTCATGACCTGCTGTTTAATCAAACTTGTAAGTATCCTTTCATATACTGAGAAGAAAATTGCATTCAGTAATCCTTCACCTCATCTTGCTCTACTCAACATGAGCAGAAGAAAAGTATCATATGAGTATGTTGAAGTCCATTGATCCCATCCAAACTGTTCTACCCTGTGACGTGAGCCCTGCTTAGTGGATTGTTGTGTTTCAAAGACCTGTTATTGGTGATGAAGAACAGATGAACACAGGGCAGTATTTCAAGCATCCGTGTTTTGTTTCTTGTCCCCAATAGATGGCAACGTGTGCTGATTGACCATGGCCTCCAGCAGGTGTCCAGGGTCTCAGCCTCACATCTTTAGTGCTGTAGCAGATAAACACATTGTTCAGCAGTCAGATTCCTCTAGCAGTAAGATAAATCTATGTGGGATATAAAGAATAATTTGGCATTTTTACAGCTAGTTCCATAATTATCATAAATAGTGGCAGTTAGATACCTGTTTCATTGCAGCTTCCAGTCAGGTGGAGAATTTGTCTAGGTCTACCTTTCAGTTCTTTATGAGAGCAAAAAGGAAAGACAGTTTTCAAATTTATTTGGTATGTGTTAGGAGATACAACATTGAGGATGGCGGTGTTACCAGGTGTACCCTGATAAACTGCCTGTGCTCACAGGTCATCAAAACGCTATGGGAGCTGCAGCTATAAGAACGTGTACCAGTTCTATGTCCCTCACTTTATTTCAGAATATACCTTAAAGATATAGTGACGTGTTCTTCCATCTATTCTGTGCTCTGGATTGATAAAACAAACAGTGATCCTCAGAAGATTTCATTTAACTCATTCTCAAATACCAGAACTTAACATCTCTCCTCCATTCTGAATGTTGGGACCTGACGCTTTACCTAGCACGTTTTGCATTCGCTTTCCAGATCACGTGAATGGTCACTGTACCAGCCCAACATCCCAGAGCTGCAGTTCAGGAAAACGACTTTCCAGCGCGGACGTCTCAAAAGCAAACCGCCGAGGGCCCGGGAGGCCCCCCTTTAGAAAAGCGCAGTCTGCAGCCTGCATGGAGATTTCCCTCCCAGTCACCACAGAAGGTGGGTGGCAGTCGCTGTTGTGCTGGGTATCCGTGAATTTCTCACCAGGTGTGAAAGTAAATTTAGCATGATCCTTGTCCAAGTCATTGCCCAGAACTGCTGCCTTCATCTGACTGTTTAGAATTAGAACAACCCCTGTGTGTTACTGTTGTTACTAACCAGCCTGCTCTTGAGCTCTGTGCTGCCTAGGGATGTGGTACGCTGAACCTCAGTGAACCTTTATAGTTGTCCCTTTGCCTGTATGGGTCCAGTGCTTTGTTATGAAAAAGCAGTCGTTCATAGCAGCCTACACAGAGTTACTGTGATAGCTAGATTTACTGAAGTTTCAAACCCTCATTGCCACTACTTACCAACTCTGAAACTGGGTGAGTTCAGGCTTTGCACATATTTATTTATTGGTACTAAAGACTGTATAAAATTCCACAATTCCTAGCCACTGTTTGCTGTAAAATTACAGCCCATGATCTGATCCATTTATATAACAAGCTTCTAGCTTTAGTATTTGAAAAAACAGCCTGCAAATCATGAACTACCTGAGTGCAGAGACTCAGTGGGCCACTTACAGCAATGCATTTTGCTTAAAACTTAGAGTAAGCTCATTTTACTTTGGTGTAGGGACCACAGGCATTCTATATAACTGGAACCAATACTCCCCAGTTTTGATTATTATTAAAGGAGATAGAACAAGGGATATTAAATCACTTAGTGTGTCTAACTTTAAATGCAAGTTGTTGCAAACAACTTTGTTGCTAGCTGCAAATTGCTAGAATTTTTTCCATTTCCTTTATGACAACATAAGTTGAAAAATAGTTTTCTATTTTGCCTTCTTATAACTGTGGGGATCACAAAACAGAATCCACATGTGCAAGACCCAGTAAGAAAACATCCTCATTTGACATAGAGAGCTCCAAGATTATGTTCTTGACTGGAGCAGAGCTGCTATCCCATAGACTGTCGTGATGCCCTCTAGCATCTCCTTGAGTTTGATATAAGGATACCATTTACCTACATTGATCCACAGGACATAGAGTAAAGCATGGTCAGATGGCCTCTGGAAATCAATTGTGTTCACTGACTGTTACTCTCTTCCAGCTGTGTCATTAGGTCTGTAGCAGAAATTATCTCCCATTGCCGGAGGCTATCCCACCAAAACAGATACAGGTGAAATATGGAACATTTTGTTCTGTCCTTTTCTACTTAAGTACAGAAACACTTAGCTTAAATAGCTTTCTATATTGGTTCTTCACTGTCCAAATGCCTTTTCACTAAAGCAGACAAGTGCCTACATGATCTATTTTTACTAGATGAGTATTAATCTTTTGCAGAGGAAAAGGGATAAAAACTTGACAATAGTGACATTTTCACAGAAACTGCTGTTTCTTCAGGGACCATGCAGCCATTGTCTTAGATTGTGAGTAGAACTAAATTGATTTCACATACCTAAACATTATCTCAATGAACTTCTTGTAATTATAACCAAATTATACTTTGAAACAATGCTGAAGAATCTACTGGGCTCAAATTTTACCTGGTTAGCAAAGGTATTTTGTATCTTCCCATGCATGGCAATCACAGACACAGGCATCTGTAGTATAGACCTGACCTCTAGGAGAATGTTACAGTATTTTGGAGTCATCAAAGATGAAGCCATAGGCTTGTGAGCACAAATGTCTAATCCTGTTATAGGCATCATATAAAATAAGATGAAGTGCAGTCTTTGAGCAATTAGTTATAAGAAGTAATTGAAAATACATAGTAAACCTATAAATTTCACTTTTAACTTGGATTGATTAATGACTATATGTAGAGCACTGCACTAAAGCAGATTTATAGAGCTCTGAGGTGTTTAAAAATTCCTGTGCTTAAAGGCAGTTTTCATTTTTGTAGTCAGCACTTTTTCCTCCATGTTAGTTATTGATTATCATAGCTCTCATCTATCTCACTTTATGCACCACACAAATATGGTAAGTACCATTGTCGCATTATAACTCATCGTGGAAAATACATCACTGCCACAATAGTTTCAATTTCTTTGTGTTTTTCTTCATCCTATGTAGCACTGAACTTTTCTGCAATTCTTATATACAGATACTGCTGCAGTATCAACACTACTTCTAAATAATTTGGCCATGATACCACTGAATTCTTTTCTGCTGCTTCTTTTCCTTCTCCCCTACATCTTCCAACGTTAGGGCCACTGGCAGGCAGAAGAGGGAACCTACAATCCCCTAAGGTTCCACTAATCCTTTCCCTTCCAGTAACAGCAAGTCACATCCTTTTGAAGTGGTCCATTGGCTGCTACACCGTTCACATTCTGTTTAGTAAGAAAACTGGCATTACTAGAAGTGTGCTAAGCATACTGTTTTATGAAATGCTTTCAACAATTTTGCAACACACTGATACTTTTGATTGCACAGTGATGCTTTTTACTATGACAAAAGATTCCGTTTCTATTTTTTATCAGTAATTATAATACCTATCAAGTTTAATATGAAAGTATACCTCATTCTAGAAAGTCATCTAACTTCCCTTCAGGGACATAAAGTAAATGAATGTAAGTGACTTTAAAAAAAATTAATCCTATTTAAACTTATCAGTGGTGTCATTGAAATAGTATTACAGTTCTCAGTGACGTTAGTGAAATGCCTGTGATATAGTTCTTCCTGCTGCACGAAAGGGCCAAGCAGAATCTTTAGAGTAATTTATATTAGCATGTCACATGATAGACCATGGTTTGAGTTTTTCCTTGGATGTGTGGTTTGTATGTACAGGCATTATTATTCTTCTATTATTATTCTTCAATCTGATTAGAGTTTTGATTAGGGATTGCAATCTCAAAAGCATTGAGAACTTTTCATACGTAAAAAGAAAATCCTTCGTGTATGGGTAAATCTTTTCTTAAGCTGAATGCCTGTTTCCGAGGCATTGATGACAATTGGATATTTCTTAACAATTCTTCCAGTTCCTGGTCTTAAAACCCCTCCTTAATTGATTAGCTAAAAAAAATAATACATTTTGATCACTAACCATAAGATATCTGTTAGAAAAATAAATCACTCTTTTCACTTTGGTTTTCAAAACCTGCTTATTTAAACCTGAGCTTTTGGTACAATTGGAACTGTATTTTCAGTGTTTTCGTCAAGTGTATTTTCAATCAGCCTTCATACACTACATTTTTCTGACTTCATTTCTATTAGATGCCTTGGTCTGTTTCAGCTCTGGGCTCCAACTAGCTCCCTTTTTTGACTGCAGTTATCTTCACAGAAACATTGAAACAGGGATTGTATTAACCTTTTGCTTGCTTTCTTTGGGGAAAATCTGTACTCCTCTATGTCTTGCCTTCTGTTCAGTTGCACAGATCCATCCCAGATCGTCTCAGACCAAGAACTGATACTACATAGTCATTAAAGTGATTGAAGCTTCTTTTCCATCTAGAACAGCAGAAGGACTGATTATGAATTACAGTGTAGGTGGGCAGGCCCCAGACATCTGTTCCTGTTCACATAGAAAAATTAAACCTCTATTTCAATTAAATTTTTGTTGTGATTTTAGATGAAAGAAAACAGTGAAGTTAAAGAATAAAAATAAAATTGTTGTGTGAGGGAACTTAGTGTGATTATCCTTGTATGGCTGGCTGAGTATGTGCATATGCTGCCATATACTCCTATTTGCTTTAATAAAATGAAAATAACTAGTGTTTCAGATTTGGAATTTCTCAGTTACTGCTTTTTTTCAAGTGTTTTTCTTTTTAAAGCCAGTTTGTTGTCTCCTGAAGATTCTTGGTAGTTGCCCTCAAGAGCACGTGCTGGCAGACTCTGCTATTTTTTCCCCATCATTACCTGCATTCATATAGAAACTGGAGCATTCTGTATATGTCTGAATGTAGTATACCATTCATCTTAGGAATGAAGTAGAGACAGGGTGGAGTTTTTGTTTTGAAGTGTTGTATTTGGAAAACTATTTTCTCCAACCAATATGTAAGTGATATAAAATCATCTTTCCATTTTTTAATTATTTTTCCCCACTATGTAGTCTTTAACTAGCCAGTTTCATCACCCTAGATGGGGAAGACTATCCAGATCAAACTACAAACTTATGTCCAAACAAGAAACTTTTAGAAGGATTTGATGTACATTTTATTTTTCTTGGAATGCTAAGAGCAGACTGTGAATTTGCTTTTTATTTCTTTAAAATAATTCAGTTTCAGTATTGGATAACTCTTTTGATTATACACAGTTAAAATTTGACATGAAGTACTTGAGATGTCACTGAGAGCTGGCAGAAACAAACCATTGAAGAATATTTAGCTATTATCTCTAATAACCTTATCAAATATTCTGTGGCAAGTACAATACAATTTTCATTATAATGGATCTAATATACTTTCAGACCTGAAGTATTTCTTTAGTATTTGCATATAAAATGACTAAAATGATTCTGGGAATAAGCTGTTTTGTCTCTTGCCTGATTTTGTCCAATTTGCTTTAGAAATGGATAGTATCTATATACTACATATTTGAATTTCTTTTACTATTCAAAGGTATTTGAGGATTACCATAAGAAGTTTTATGTGGCAGAGGTTTTCCTGCTGGATTTTGGCTTAGATTTTAGGCTTTTAGGGTGCTAAATGTATATTTTTTTAATTTTGTTGCTTTTTGGTTGGTTTTAGGTTCAGCAAATTCTACAGTGGTTTTCTGTGCATGTATGTTGGCCTATTACATTGGTCTGTTTCTATAACAAAGCTTCCAACTTCGTAGGACCTGTCCATGCCTTAATCAATATTTGCTTGTGAATACATGTGTGAAAACATACAGAACTGCTGACATTTGCTCTTGTAAGTCCAGTAAGAAGTAGTCATAGTCTTGGAAATAAGTGGTTATTTTATATGAAGTCCACAATTTGAGGAAATGAACTGTATATTGCATATTTCCCATGTAACTTCTATCACATTTTTGACAGTTCTCCTGTCAGTTATGGTTATACTATTACACCATCTGCAA